AGGAGATACTGCATAATCTGTAGTGCAGCAATGTGATCTCCCCCTGATCTGGGGAGAGAGGTCTGAGTTAAAATCACCACTTTCGAATCAGGGATTGTTTCTTGGCCAATGAGTATTCGGTCACCAGCGTATGGTGCCAGACTAGCGGTTTGAGAGCGCTCCACCCCCAAAATACTCTGTTGGAAGAGCAGGGATTTGAATCTTGATACCCCAAAACTCAATGAGCACTGTTGCCTCCAGAGCTAGTCTGGGGTACCCCTGGGGAGATATACCCCAGCTGTCCCAGGGTCAAGGGCTCTCTGCCAGAATAAGCAGCACCTGAGGTGAGATGTCTGCCCTCGGGCTTGGGCTGAGTTTGGGCAAATAAGTACCTCTTTTTTAAGGAGGATTGCATCAGTGTTTGCTTTGCACCTGCCCAACAGCAGAAAGTTGGGTGCCTACAGCAGTACGTTTGAGCAATGGTTTTGAAGTCGTCCCTGGTGCTGGTTGAAGAAGGAAAAATGTTGCTGAATGCTTTTCGGAAGCTGAACCTAACTGCATTTTGGCACTGATCTCTCATGAATACAAAGCTCTGGTCCTGTCTGTTACCGAGAGCCTTTTCCTAATGCCTGTTGATGGTGTTACATGTACCCTGTGCTCCGCAGAAGGAACGCAGACCTCCTACAGCTGGCTCCAGCGTAGGCAGGATGGACCAAACTATGCGTTAAAAAGCCTTTGTATGACTCCCAGACTGGCTCTGGCAACTTAACTGCTGTGAGAAACCAGAGGAGTCAGGAGATATACATCTGAGCTGTTTGTGGCAGCTTCAGCTTTCTTCAAGAGCTGAAAGATTACCCTGATGGTCCCAACTCTCCTTGATTCTGTGAATCTGCCACATAGCGATTTATTCTTTGTTTTCCTCCTAATACTGTTTGTTTGTTTTCTCTTTTCCTTTCTCCAACATCCAAACCCCAGATGAGCTTAGGACAAAGAGCAAAGCTGACCTGCACACCCGAGATGGCCTATGGAGCCACAGGCCACCCTGGGGTCATCCCTCCCAACGCTACTCTCCTCTTTGACGTGGAGCTTCTCAGGTTAGAGTGAATCTTCTCGAGGGAGTTGGCTGGAGACATCTGTTAATAACCATCCGTTCTTTCTCGCCTTGCCAGCAGCGGGAGAAATCTTCACTGGAATCCCAATCTTCCCTGCTCAAGCTGTCCTGTCAATAGCGCCTGCCGTTCGGTTTCTTACGCCTTCCTTCTCTTTTTTAACTTCGTGGTGTCCGTATTTGCCTTTTATTAGAAGCTTTGCTTTGGGAAAAATGTCTACCGTTGTAACATTTTCAAGTTGTACATTTTATTTAATTTGCATGTAAGAAGAATTCACAGTGACGATTGAAAATATCTATAAATATAAATATATATATTCCTTATTGAAAAACCACTGCCTTACTGTACACTTAAACCAAGAAAAAAAAAACCACAAAAGGTGCTCAAAAAAAAAATAATCCAATGTACGCCTTGTACATGAACGGGCATTAGCCAAACAGAGTTACCTGCGCTGCCACTTTTCTCAACTTGTACGTTCTGCTTGCTGCTGTTTTAAAAAATACTGTCTCATTTAAGAAATAAAAGTATATATATAAACCAATAAAATCTTGATACTTTACAGTTTCTGTTTCCTATTTTTCTGCTTTCTTCTGGCCTCTGGAATTCTTCCTGGTGTATAAGAAGTTCTTCAAACAATCATCAACCCATTTTTTTTTTTAATTATTTCTCTTCTTACATGAAAAACACCTAATTCCATGCGCTGCTTCTGTTATAGATGGCACAGTGGAAGATCTCTGTGGGACCAGAGGTACCAGGAACATGCCAGTAAGGGCTGCTGGGACAGAGAGGTTTCCTGACTCTCTATCTCCCCTGCCCTGCTGGTGGCCCCTCAACTCTGGCCAAAATTTAGCTGCTGAAGAGATGGGAAGAGATGCTTCTCAAAGATGTGCAGTGCTGGTCCAATTCTATGCATTTACAACAGTAAAACTAGTGTAAGCATGTCTACTGGTGATGAGATCGGCTAAAGAAGAGCAGAATTATGTGCCTCCACCTTACAAAACTGATCTGGACTGTGGGATGATGTGGCCACTGAACACACCAGGGGTTTTAGGCTGCATCTGCTGGTGCTGTTTACACAGCCTGCAAACTTACTCTGTGCGCTGGGCTCCTGGCACCCAAGACTGGGCAATATTTATTGCATGTGAATTCACGAAATGCTGGTTCCTCCCCTGGAGACCGAAAGCTGCATAGACTGTCATTTACCTGGTGTTAGGAGCAGGACCCGATCAGTGACGCTGCCTCTGTGCTGGTATTTTGCTTTGCCTAAATTTGATTCCTCACATGTTGGCTTGCTTTTCCCCTTTGCTGTGGAAAAAAAAGAGCATCATTGGATCACAATGTTATTTTTATTTAACTTGACTATAAACTTTGCGTAGTTTTTGACTAAGGGATTTTTGGATGGAAGTATTTCAGACAGTTGTCGTGCTATTCTCTTGTGTGTGTCTGTGTCAGGAGAACACACCCAGCAGGAGCAGACAGACCATGAAGCTACACTGGTATCTCCAGGTGGTACCTCCTGGAGACGAGAGAAAAGGAGCACTGACAAGCAAGACTGGCAGTCTGGCCAGTGCCTACAGCTCACCCTCCTCTTTCTCTAGACGTTCATTTTACCCACAAAGCTGCCTTTGAGTTTGTTTATTAATAAGCCCATAAAACCCATCTCTTACAAACTGTTATTCACCGAGGATTGGTGGAGTAAATTTTTTTCTTGCTCCGCTCTCCGCAAAGAAACGGAAAGCCCTTTCGGGACCCTTTTTTTGGTGGAAATCTGGGCTCACGGTTACACTTCCACATTTCACTAAATAGTTCTTTCATTTAGGACAGGCTAATTTCCTGATAATAAATGGGAAATGAGGCCTGCAGGCCTTGATGCCCATTAGCTCTCCCAGATACTTTTTAAAGGTGCTGCTCTCCTTTGCCACCGCCCCGGCCTCTGTCGCTGGTCTTGTTTTCGGCACTGGGTTACAGATCGCAGCAGTTGCGGGTGTGAGCTCCCATAGATGTCTGGGTTAAACGTAACGTGGCCCTCTCCCGCCTGACAAACACGGGTCGACTCAGCACATCGGTCTAAAGCTGCTCCTGCTGATGGCCCAAGTTAAGTTAGTCGCTCGTTAAAAAACAAAACAAAACAAAACAAACAAAAACCGTAAAGGATCTGGCTCAGGACTTCTTCCGAATGCCTCAAAAGCGACCAGCAATGAGAAGGATTGACACAGCGTACCTGAAATGGCCACGTGTTCCCTCCATCATCTCTTGGTCCCGCTGCTGGTGAGCTTCTGCCGTGCCTAGAGCGAGAGGGAGAGCATCGCCCTGCCCTTGCGCTCCTGCCAGGTGTCTCACCAGCAAAACATGTCTTCTGCTGGGCTTTAAGAGCTGATCCTGTTCAGTCTTATCGCCTCTGTCTGCAGAGCTGCTCTGCACTTTCCGTCTGCCCTCAGCAGTACAACCCGGCCATTACCGAGTCTGTAAAATCCTTATTACAGCTGGCTGATGAAGCGCTCGCTCTCTCTCATCACCCGTTCTCTGCAGAGACCTTTGTTGGAAGCAGCGATTATTACATTTTTCATGCCAATTTCATTAAAAAAAAATCTGAAAGGAAAACTAATTGTGCTTTGTGATACTTAGGGAAATTAAGTCTTCAAGGAAATGTAATCTTCAGCTCTTTATTTGACTGCAAATGCGTTAATTTATTTAATTGTATCATCGATCAACACAGTACATATAATTATTACCACTATATAATGGATTGGAAAAAATTTACTGTCATTGCCTGTGTAATCAGATATGCTCTTGTTACTAATTTCTAAACAGCGTCAATGGAAAAAAATGACCTTCCAGGCTTAATTTCATGCCCTACTTCCTGAAAAATTAAATGGGAAGCGAGCACACACAAAAACCAGCACAGATGCAGAGTACGAGGCTGGTAACATCTGCCTTATTTGCTGCCCCCTCTGCCATTCATATAACCGAACTCATTTCCCTGTCCTTTGATATTACATTTCAAACAAAATCTTGAGCAGACCTCATCAAAACAATCCTCCGGGCATTCGATTTCCATTCCCTCTGTCGTGCAGGTACAAATTATTATTTCATTTTACATGTGCAGGGACATCGAAAGCCCTGAACAGGCACTAGAAGAAAAAGTATGAAATGGAATATTTAATGAAAGGCAGCAGCTGAGCTCTCAGAGAAATCAAAAGCCGCTGATCTTGAGGATTCAATGAAGGAATTTTTATTAATCTTATTACCCTAAAGAATTGCTTTTTATATATGTTTTTCAAACAGCATCAAATCCTCATCAAAACAGACACTGCAGTGCAAGCGCCATGCTCTTCGCTATTGACAGAAGCAGTGCAGTATTTGCATATGATTTTAAACAAGGCTGGCAGCACGTGGCTCCATTATTACCACTTTGATATTTTATTATCAGTATTTGTTATTATTTATAATAATCCAGCATGGTAACAAGTACCTCCAGTTCCTGTTACAGCGAGGGGATACCATTTAAAAGTGCCCAACAACTGCTGTAAATGGCCCCAGTTATCCTAGTGTTTGGCATGTGTGTGCACGTATGTATATACATGGCATATATATAATGCATATATGGGGGGGGAGGAGCGGCACTTTGTAACCTCTAAAAAGCTATGGATGTTCACATAGAAGCAAGCCCTCCAATAGGATTTCATCCATTTAAACATGTTTAAGGCAAGCTCGGTTTTGCCTGAGAAACTTTGGTCTGTTTTAATCTGATGGGCAAGACCCGAAAGGTTGTCAGAAATAGTCAACATGGATTCACCAAGGGGAAGTCATGTCTGACTAATCTGATAGTGTGACTGGATGGGTGGGTGAGGGGAGGGCAGTGGATGTTGTCGACCTTGACTTCAACAAGGCTTTCAATACTGTCTCCCACACTATTGTGTCCAGTTCTGGGCTCCCCGGTTCAAGAAGGACAGGGAACTGCTGGAGAGGGTCCAGCAAAGGGCTACAAAGATGATTAGGGGATTGGAACATCTCTCATATGAGGAAAGGCTGAGGGACTTGGGTCTCTTTAGTCTGGATAAAAGAAGAATGAGGGGGGATCTTATCAATACTTATATTTAAAGGGAGGGTGCCAGGTGGATGGGAACAGCCTTTTCAGTGGTGCCCAGTGATAGGACAAGAGGTAACGGGCACAAACTTGAACATAGAAGTTCCATCTAAACATAAGGAACTTCTTTCCTTTGAGGGTGGCAGAGCATTGGCACAGGCTGCCCAGAGAGGTGGTGGAGTCTCCCACTCTGGAGACATTCCAAACCCGCCTGGTCGCCATCCTGTGCAACTGCTGTAGGTGACCCTGCTCTGGCAGGGGGGTTGGACTAGATGATCTCCAGAGGTGCCTTCCAACCCTGACCATTCTGTGATTCTGTGAAAAGGAAGCTGTCACCTAAGAGCAACAACAGCCGAGCCCAGCTGCTCTGCATTCAATGTGTGTGCATCACAGCTGCACCCAACTGTACAGTCCTGGGCAGGGGGGAACGCTGGATGTGGTTACAGCTGCTGACAGGCTTAGTCCCCCATCACTTGTTCCCAACCTGGGGCACAGAGAGGCCTCCTGGGCAACAAGCAGCTTCAGTTTGAAGGGACAGACATAAGTACAGGAGAGGCAGAGCAAGGAGAAGGCTTTTTATGGAACAGTCACTCCCTGCAACAGAAGGGAAGGCAAACCCGTCGCTGGGGACACTCCCCGGTCAGGCACAGGGGGGAAATTCAAGCACCCACAGAGCTGGAATCACAGGAGAACCGTGTCAGCTGCCACCTCCCTGCTGCCCAGGGGTGAGAAAGCCGGTGAGGAGCGTCACCACCACCGTTGCGCTCCTCCCAGCTGAAAAAGGACTGCACAGCACACGGCAACCTCAGGGGACCCGCTCCCTTTGAGGGCTGGACACTGGTACGCACAGCCAGGCACCCTCCCCCAGCGCTCAGGGGCTGCACACGCGTGAACACCCACATATGGCCGGGCACGGACGCTCTACAAATTCCTACCTGAATCACAAACACGCAGGTGATGAATTACTTCCTTTCTAAAAGGAAAGGTCACATGCAGAAGTAGCGCAGCATAACGCAAGCCTTGATGAAAAAAAAGCAGAACTATGTAGACCCACATTTACTTTTTACTAAATGGACGCAAGAACAGCATGGGGTTTTTTTAAGTGACAGAATTCAACAAAAATCTAAGGATACAAAAACATTCATTTATAAGAGTATAACACACTGAAAACAAAAATTAACATAAATTACAAATCCTCAGACCAAGTGTGTTTGCACCTGCCCACATTCTGCACTGGCTGGAAGTTGGCTGGTCAGGGAGTTAAACATCAGATCCAACCAGATAAATCCTCCCGAGAGGCAGGACACTGGCACCGTTCCCAGGAACGTTCCAGCTGGTTCAGAACACAGGTGGTGGTCATTCTTTTCCACTTCCAAAATATACTGGTTATGCATACTCTGTATCACACCGATTTTTATTCACAGGATATGACTGCTGAAAAAAAGAGCCAAAAAATGTAAATATTTTCCTTTTCCTCCACCAGTTACTACGTAATTTATGTACATGAAATATATTACAGTTCATACACAGAGTAGAAAACAGTCGCACTACAGGTATCTGAAATTCCCACCATCATCTACTCTCTCATTTTGGTGGGGTGTTCTCTACCCAACATTAAAAGGTGTGAAGCGTATTCCTGTCGCTCCTACTAACCTCAGTACAAAGCTGGTACACCATCTTGTACACCACTAAGTCAGCCCCGCAGCAACACACTATTAGAGCAAGATTATTTTACTGCAGCTTATCTGTTTCGTCTCAGTCACCAGGAACAAGACATTTTGACTGAAGTCACCTAAGGAGTTGGATCATTTTAAAAGGCCATTCATTTTCTACAGTTTGTAAAAGAAACTTTGTTATAAACGCGGATTTGGGCTTGCTTTGTTTCTAGTGAGAAGTAGCCCAACAATCATGTAATGGAGTTCGGCTCCTTCAAACATTCCCAGAGGGACAAAGGCGCAATAAATCGTGTACAATATAGACAGGTGTGATCAACTATCAAACCACGCTTATTTCTTTTTTAAAAAAAGCACACCAACCCCTGTCGCAGGAAGACTAGCTGCAATGCTCCATTTCCAGGAAGTAGGAAGTGAGATGTACCTCCAGGCAGGCAGCTCATGCAGAGCCTCCAGAGCTCCTTGCAGGAACTGGCTGCCACGCTGAAGATCTGTCCTGGAGACTGGGCAGAACTTTAGGAGGTGACAAACACTCAACAGGCTCAGTCCCATCTTGAGAGGTCCTGCTGGAAACGGGACTGTGGCTCTGCAGCATTTACCAGGTCGCCCTTACAACACAGAGAAGCCATGTCCGCTTAGGGGGATTTAATCTTGAAGCCGATCTTCCAATGTTTTACATTTATTTAATTCTAACATGAAGATCTAAAGATTCAAATTACAGCTTATCATTTTTTTTAAAAAAAAGTTTTACTTCACTGAGAATTCCTGTGTTTAGTTCAAGAACTCTTGAAAACAGTTTTCCAAAAAAGATCAGTTTATTTTGGTGGGTCTGTATTAATTCCGTATTTTTCCTTGAGAAGCTTAAGCTGTTCCTCTTTCTTCTTTGTGTCCATCTTTTGGAATGCCTGTAATTAGGAAAATGAGATGAGATTTATTTTTTTTCCCCCTCACATCTTTTATGACACGTTATTTCCCAATAACTGCAACCAACATCACGATGAACTACATCAACATCACACACAAACACTGATGCTTAATTCTGAACCTCACAGAATACCACAGATACCGTCAGAAACTGGCAGAACATTAAGACCTACAGACTTTTTACCTGTAAACAGGACTTCATATCCTGTTGCAGCTGTGCAGTTTTAAGGCCTCTCCACTTCTTCTTCTCCAAAGTACACTCACCAGAAAAATGCTTTTCACACCCTTTGTCCAAATTACTTTTTTTTTTTTGTGCACACAAATCACCGAGTAAAGATGACATCCTGACAATTTATCCCATCCATTCCCTCTACCAGTTTCCATTTATTTTGTAAAAAATATCCAAGCAACTATCTTGTCAAACTGATTTCTTTTTGTGCTAGCTACGTTCACAGGTAACTTAAAAAAAAACCCCAAGAGTACATACCCTGTTTGCATTATAGTACAAAACAACAAGGTATCTGTTGCACACGTTGAATCCCGACAGGTGATCACAGGCGTTTTTGGCATCAAAGATGTCTTCATAGACCACGTAGGCTGTTCCTCTAGTTTCAGGAGTGTTCCCACTGCAGGCAAGATGAATTTTAATGTTAAAATAAAAGGACATAGTTCTATTAGTCTTTAGCTGTGACTGCAATTAGATTAGCTAAAGCACTTCACTAAAAAACAATTTATTGTTATTTTTGTTCTAGATATTAAAATACATCCCTGCTTTCCACACCCATCTCCACTTACAGTTCAGAGTCAGAGATGACAGCAAAATGTGAGAGGCATGTGCTGCATTACACTCCTTAAGGGAAATTCACCTCTCCACAACAACTATCAGAAGCTGTTGCTGCCAGGGGTTGTCGTATTTCTGGAAATACTCTAAGTTTTTATTACAGCAATTAGCTTGTTTTATTTACTATTACAAGACCAGGCTGTGAGTTAATGGCTGTCTGGATCAGTTGTCTCCCTGGGATGGAATATGGCTCTGGGCACATCACAAAGTCAATTTGAGAGAGTAAGAACAGTCCCGCTGGTGCAGGACCACGTCAGACGCATGGCCATCGCCTCTCAGACCATCAATGCAGTTTGCTTTGCCTGAGGGACAGGAGACATGTCTGGACACATAACGCTAACAAGCCCGGAGAGATTGCAGAGTGTACGAATCCAAAAGATCTCAGCTAAATGACAGTTACAGCTAACTTAATCAGAAGAACTGTCTCTAAGGTGCTTGCTTCTAAGAAGAGAACTCCTGAGTACAAGTGATATCACACATATCCACACCGGGATGTGTACAAGAATGAAGAGAACAGGATAAAAACTGCACAAAGCACAAAAGTCATTACAAAAGCAGTTCTATGTTATGCCTTGTCTTGTGATGATGTTAGGATTTCTGTGGAAAACAACACAAACCAGTAGTTCTGAGGGCTCAGCAGGGACGCTGCCTGCAGCTCCCTGTTGGATACATACACTAGCGCATCACTCCGATGGAAAGCTCCAGTGGTATGGCTAAATTCTTTATGTCCCACTGTTGCGCTGTTCCAACCTACAGGCTTTCAGAAACCTTAAATATTAGTTCTTCTTTATGCTTATTTGTGAAGAATTCTACCTATTTGGCCAAGCAGGAAGTTTATGCTGTCCCTTGTTCCTTTAACCACTTCCCCTGCCACTTCTGTTGCCCCTCCCTGCATGAGAAGCATCTCACTGGCTCCAAGTTCCAACACAGCACCAGCAGTACGTCCCCCCTGTCCTTGTTTGTTTACTGAAGGCAATTCTATATGTAAAACTCCTTTAAAAATGATTGTTCAGTGTACAGAATAATCACTACAGCTCTGGAATGAGCACTTCTATTTGGGATAGTAAAGTTCGGTCTGTTTAACTGTTTACATATTTACATCCTGCAAAACAATGAATTACCCCACCCCCCAGTCTCAGAGCATGGGGAAATGGAGCTCAATATAAATGACAAGGATACATTCTGCTCTAGTCTGATCAGCAACCTAGTTGAGAACTAAGAGATACTGCAGGTTATTTTGCCAACGTGAAGATAAAAGCAGTACAAAAACCCCCATATCAAATATGAACTACATTTCCTTTCTATTCAGACATCTATTGAAATGTGACTTAAATAGAAAAACGTTGTAAGTAATAAATGCCAAGTTTTGTTTCCTCCCCCTCCCCTTCCTAAGTACTTTTCAGAGGGAGGACAAAATATCTTTTTGTATGAGTGTCAATACTCCAACCAGCTTTACTACAGTTCTCAAAATTCTCTTCCTGAATTCCAGCTTCAGCCAACTCTTTCTGCTAGAAACGTAGCAGAACATTAATACTAACCAGATGAAATTATGGTTTAATCCACAGCATTCAGACAATATTCACGGTAACAAGCATCTCAGAGCTCAGGTGTTCAATATTTGAAATAACTAAAGACAAACCCCTCAGATTTGCTGTTGACATATATAACCTCAATGCATTTTAAAACAAAATTAAAGTCAAATCGCCATTCTCCACAGACTACGTGGCTCAGGGACAAGCTGCACGTCACACAGCGAGTTGTTTCTGATACTTGTTTCTGGTCGACAGGCCCAGCAGCAATAATAACATCTCTATTTTTCCATTACTTTAGTATCAATACTCATTAAAAACAGAAGTGGTTGTATTCAACTTTTGCCTTTCGTATTTTTACCTTTAGTTAAGGTGAAAGGTTAGCTGTATTTAAGATGTACCTAAGAGAGAAAATTTGTATTTTTACCAACTTACCCAAGTTCACATCAAATTTAAACTTCTTCACCCTACCTACCAGCAATATTATTTTCAAATGAATTCACACATACGAGAAATATCATCACATCCATCTCTGGCACACAGGGATACTACTAAAATGCATTTAACTTTTTCAGCTGTGAAATCCAGTTGCTACCTCCTGCAACAGGAATACTGCAATACAACACATGTACTAAAGCACATAAAACCCTTTACTTTTGAAAGAAAACTAAAAAACTTACACTCTGATTTGTCGAATAGGCCCATATTTCCCAAAAATATCATACATTTCCTCTGCTGTGATTTTATACGGCAAGTTCCTAATATACAGGATCCGATTCACTTCTGGAGGCAGCCGAATCTGATGAAGAAACATACGGTGTGTTAGACCTAGAGCACCCAATTCAGACTTTAAAAGCAGCAGCCTGCGAGCTAAACCTTGGGGCTAACATCACTGAGAGAGTCCACATGCTTCGCTAATCCTTTTTTAACCCTCCACAGCTACAAACTTGGCGTGTTTTTGTCAACCAAGAGGCCTGCCCGGAGGACGATGGGCTCCCTTGGCCGGGGTACGCGGAAGGCCTGCTCTCGGCCCCGGGCCGGGGGACCCCTCCTCACAGCCGCGGAGGGCTGAGGCGGGCCAGGAAAGGGGCAGGGGAGAGCACTCACGTTGGCTCGTTTGGCTGCTTGCATCGCCATGGCGCCGGTCGGAGGTAAGGGGCTGCCGCCTGGGAGAGAAACACCGGCAGGAAAACGGCCTACTCCGCGGCGCGCCGCTCACCTCGGCGGGGAACCCGGATGCTATCCAGTTGAATATTCACCATTATTTCATTTGTATTTAAAAAGGCTCTTCACACAAAGGTTATACATCTGCTGTATAACTGTTCTGATGCAAGTAAATACAGGAAGCAATAAGAGGCACCTTTATATCCCTGTGGATTTGGAGACATTATACCATTATAGCTTCAATTTTTAAAAAATCCTAAGCTATAATAGTTACTCTATTAAGAATGTAACTCATACAGAGCCCAATCATAGAATCATGGAATTGCCTAGGTTGGAAGGGACCTTAAAGATCATCAAGTCCAACCATGAACCTAACACTGCAAAACCAAACCATGTCCCTAAGCACCACGTCTACCCATCTTTTAAATACCTCCAGGGATGGTGACTCCACCACTTCCATTGGCAGCCTGGTCCCATGCTTGACAACCCTTTCTGTGAAGAACTTTTTCCTATTATCTATCCTAAACCTACCCTGGCATAACTTGAGGCCATTTCCTCTTGTCCTATCACTTGTTACTAGCAAGAAGAGGTCAACTCCACCTCATTACAACCTCCTTTCAGGTAGTTGTAGAGAGTGGTAAGGTCTCCCCTGGGCCTCCTTTTCTTCTGACTAAACAACCCCAGTTCCCTCAGCTGCTCCTCATAAGTCTTGTTCTCCAGACCTGTCACTAGCTCTGCTGTTGCTCTTCGGACACGCTTCAGCACCTCAGTGTCTTTCTTGTAGTAAGGGGCCCAAAACTGAACACAGTACTCAAGGTGAGGCCTCACCAGTACAGAGTACAGGGAAACAATCACTTCCCTGTTTCTGCTCACCACACTACTCCCGATACAGGACAGGATGCTGTTGGCCTTCTTGGCCACCTGGGCACACTGCTGGCTCATATTCAGCCAGCTGTCAACCAAAATCCCCAGGTCCTTCTCTGCTGGGCAGCTTTCCAGCCACTCCTCCCCAGTCCTGTAGCATTGCGTGGGGTTGTTGCGACCCAAGTGCAGGATGCGGCACTTGGCCTTGTTGCACCTCATACCATTGGCCTCGGCCTATCAATCCAGCTTGTTCAGGTCCTTCTGTAGAGCCATCCTACTCTCAAGCAGATTAACACTCCTGCCCAACTCGGTGTCGTCTGCGAACTTACTGAGGGTGCACTTGATCCTCTCGTCCAGGTCATTGATAAAGATATTAAAGAGAACTGGCCCCAGTACTGAGCCCTGGGGAACACCACTTGTGACCGGACGCCAACTGGATTTAACTCCATTCACCACGACTCTCTGGGCACAGCCATGCAGACAGCTCTTTACCCAGCGAAGTGTCTGCCCGTCCAAGACACAAGCAGCCAGTTTCTCCAGGCGTCCCCGGCCTTGGGTGGGTGGCTGCGTCCCCCTCCCCAGCCCCCGGGCTGCCCCTCCTCATGCCCCTGTCCGGGAGAGCACCCCATGGCCTCTGCCAGGCTCACAGCCCCACAGCCACCACGGTGCCTCAGGGACACGGGCTGCGGGGGGAAGGCGGCTGGGCGGCATGCAGGGGTTCCTGAAGGGGCCTGGGCTGCGGTCGGTGAGGAAGGCAGGGTGTCACGGTTCTGGAAAGCTGACAGTGAAGGAACTCGGAGCCGAGACCGGCATTCGGTGCCAGGCAGTGTTCTCCTGCAGGGAGGAGCGCTTGCCGACATTTTGTTTACACGTTCAAGACCCACTGCTAGAGCTGCAAAATGAACCTTTTTATTAAACACGTCTTGTAAGGCTTTGCTTTACCCGTCCTTTTTGGCATCTTCCCACAGCAAAACATTCTGAATCTGGAAGCAGAAATGGCGGATTCTCTGCTTGTCACACACCCCTAATGATTCTATCCCTGAAACAACTACAGCAGTAGGCCTTTCTTTAAGATGAAGCAGGCATTTCGATGACAATTTTGCCAATATTCTTGTTTTCTTCCATGATCTTGTGTGCCTCTGCAATCTCGTGCAGAGGGTAGACGCTGTCAACAAGTGGTTGGAGATGAGGGGAGGTTCCTCCAGAAAAATACGGCAGCACATCTTCTGTGAAGGCTTTCACCAGCAGTTCCTTATACTGAAGAAAAAAAGCATTTTGAAGATTATTTCCAGTCATGTCATTCACAGAGGCATCTCTGATCACAGTGTACAAAATGTGCAGATCTCAGGGAAACTCTTTCTGATATTCTCATAGTGAGACAGACATGTAAACAGGTGTAAATTACGAACAAGATGAAAACTTTTAGATTAATTATATTTTAATTGAATTAAATTCTCCAAACAAGTGGTATAAGCTCAGTGAAGAACCATTTAAACTCAAACTGATAAAATTCTTGAGAATATTATGTATTAGACCATGGATAGAATCTATCCTAGGCCTCTGCACTGCTGTCTTTTACTGTAATAGCTGAGAATTTTCCACATAAAGTGATTTTTCCGTGGTAATTTTTGAGCATCCAAATGGCTTTGGTCTCTACTTTGAAAAATGATCTAATAGAGGCTTTCCCCCTGCCTCCCCGACTTGACTTGATCAAGTTGCCTGATCACGTGAGTTTTGTTTCTTCTTAGGTGAAATCTTTAGATTATGGTACTCATGAAGTGCATTAAGAAGTCCTGGGTATTATACCTCTGATTTAGTAGTTGTAAAAGGGGTGCATTTGCTAAAAATAGAAAAGGGAAATTGTAACTTAATTTTGCAATGTTTTCCAAAGTATGTAGTAACAGTTTAAAGTGGTGATTTTTTGGCACAAATGCATTAGATTCTGCTTTAACACTGGTATCAAAAGAAAGCTCTCAAAACGATAATTGATTTTAAGATCAAACTGTATACACTTTCGACAGCCATTACTTGCCTCCTTGTCTCGTGATCGTAATAGACTTGTATAGATGCTCCCTCTTTTGGAAAGCAGCCTTGCAAGCAAATCTCCATGTACTTCACCTCCACCCAGTAGTCCGTAAATAATCCACCGGCCATCAGTACTCAGACAGTTCAGATTCTTCTCCCAGTATGAGCCACCGACACAATCCAAAATAACATCTACTCCAGAACCTCAAGTAGAAATAGAAAAGATTTCAGCAATGTAGTCGAGCTGCGTTAAAGGTAGGATAATTCCAGGCAAAACTAAAACCTTGTTCTTTATAGGTACAGAATCAATCCTGCAATTCTTATTTAAATCTTTCTACTGAGATTAGGAATGGCACAATGATTTGTAAGGAATTCTAGAAACAGGCACAAAAAAAAGTCATTATAGATATCCAAATACAGACTCTGTCATAAACCATCCCAAATGCTTAGAAAAGCTAATTTTTTGTAACAGTAAGAGAACTAAGCTTTCTTCCCATATTCAAACACTTACAAAGACAAGTGCGAGGATTTGTTCCCACAGTTCCTTGTGTAGGCAACAATAACGCATGCATAATATTTATGCTCCAAATGAACACAAAGCCAAAGAGAGTCCATGCATAAAAAAAGCACAATTAAACTAAGGAAAGCGAGGTTCTTGGGCTGACCAGGATGTTAGGTTGTGCTAACAGAGTCATTACCGTCTGCTCCTTCACTGATTTAGGTGACAGTTGAAAGTGAGTGTATATGCAGATACGTTATGATGAGGTACACACTCCTCCTCAACTGTAACACTGTCTTTCACATAGAGGTTCTTACCTTGGGTCATCGCCAAGACCTTTTCACTAAAATCCTCATTCCTGTAGTTGAACCCCGCAGCTGCTCCGGCATTTGCTGTTGCTTTGAGTTTCTCTTGAGTTCCTGCTGTCACGATGGGAATAGCTTTTGCCAGTCTCACCAGCTGAATGGCTGCTATACCAATTCCGCTAGCTCCAGCATGGATCAGCACTCTCTCACCCTTCTGTATTTTACCTGAAGGATGACATAAGCGAAATGGTTTCCCTTTTGGCATCACCTTTGGATTAAAATATGATCAGGGTGGAAAATACTGAAGAGGAAGCTGAAAGAGCTGCCCTTGAGTGGGCTTTGTTTATATCTCCATATCCTTCATAAAAGAAACAAATCCAGAACTAACACAGCTCGTAGTGTACCGACAGGACTCTATTTTACTGATGTCAGTGGAATGACTTTACCTTGGGCCTGTCCAGTTCTGGGGATCCATGACCAAGCTGCTTAGGTGAGTGCAGGCAGCCTTTTTATACCAGGACTGCCCACTGCCATCAACAGAAAACACACTTGGGGGATGTTAATAATGAGAAATCAGGCTCTCAACAATGGAGAAATACCAGAAGTGCTGGGCAACATTAAGGACCAGTTCTACCATCTGCTGGTTGACTTAATGCATTTGTTTGTGTTCCATGGATTGCTATGGGAAGTGAGGCACCAAGTAGTCCTGGAGATGTGGTCCTAATTGACCACAGTCCCCCAGGAAGCAACAGTGCTCAAAGCCAGTCTGCATTTCCGTTAGTGAGGAAAGTTACTTCTTTGTAACTCCTGTTCTTTAGTGGAGCTTTTAAATGCTACTGCTGAAGAGGGTAGAAGAAAGATATTTATCAACCGAGGAAAAACCTGCCAAGTGCTACTGTTAGTGCCTCTGTAGCACTGATTTTACCAACAGTTAATGTCTGCATGAAATAAGGTACAAGAATACGTTGTCTACTTTAGATCCACAGGCAATTAGTGAGAAAGTTCATTGTATGGTTATCCTTGCAGGGAAGTGAAATCTTTAGAAGTAGGATGCTTTTCCAGTTGTTTGGAGAACAAGTAAATTATTTCAGGGTTTAGGCTTAATGGAAATTGACATTCAAGCTTAGAAAGACAGATGAAAAGAAAAAACGACCATCTTTCCATATCCTTCCTTGTAAATATGCAATCACCAGAGTATGCTGTGACTGGGCAGATTTCAGGATTTGGGTATGGCAGGACAGATTCTGACCCATGTGAATGAAGCAACAGAGAAAATGCTCTTCGAAGGCAAACAGCATTTAGATGGAGGCAACAAAGAGAGGA